GAACGCAATATAACCCACCCGGTCGGCTCACAAACATGGGGGATCTAACCATCGGAGAGTACTCAAAAGCTACAACCGTTGACATCGCCGTCCAGTTTCAAATGCTTGGAAAGTTATCGATCAAACAGGGCCGAATTCGCATAGCTTCTGGCGGTCGCCTTTCTGGCAGCACTGAGCTTTTCAACGATGGAAGAGTCGAAGTGACAGGTGGAACACTGACCGCAACAGGTGCCAGCATATCTGGACCAGGAGATTTGTACGTTTCTGGGGGTATCCTCTCTCTAGATGGAGGCGAAGTGTACTCCCCTATATCCATTACAAGTGGAACGCTCCAGGTATCCACGGATAACCGTGTCACTACTCGTGGAGCAGTTAGGATACACGGAGGGACTCTAAATGTAGACGGTTACCTCGAGTGTCTTCAAGAAGTACGCTACATTTCAGGATCATTGTCAGGAACCGGTATTGTCAGGCTTGGCAACCAGTCTAAGATACTAGTCATGTCGACGCAGTCTTCGGATAGGCGCACCACATCCGTTCGAAGTCTTCAGATATTTGGGCTGTTAGAGGTCAGCTCTTCTCTTGAGGTTAGAAGTCCCGGGGTGGTAAGAAACGAGGAAGAAGGCCGGGTTCAAATGACAAGAAGTGGGGTAATCACTGGAACTGGACGGGTAGAGAATTATGGAAGACTTAGCGCAGGGGACATGCATCCTGATATAGCTGCCAGGATTTCTTCAAAATTCGAAAACTTCTGGGTTGTGGAGCCGGACAATTCAAGCTTGATTCTCGAACCCTACAGCTCCACAGCTACTCACAAGATATCATCAAGAGTGTTGGGAGGAGTGACCACGTGGAGAAATGGAGTGACATTAGGCGGAGTCACTGAGGGTAGTGTCGTTATACAAGGCAACTGTTACGTCGGACAAGCAACAGTATTCAATGGCAACATCACATGGGAGTCAGGGACCATCTCTCTCCAAGAAGACCAGTGTTCTACAAGATGGTATGATTCATCTAAAATCATGAGATCAGACTGCTCTGAGAAATATGTGCTAAACACCGGGGACATCATACTAGAGACTTCATCAGATAAGACTTTATCTACTGGTGTAGATCTTGTCAACAAGGGAAACATCAAATGGTTTTCTGGAAAGATGATAGTTGGTGGAAATGTGAAAAATCTCGCTGGTGGAAAGTTTGAAATTACTGACGAGTCCAATACAGATCATAGCTGGCAGAATAGTGGAAATACTCTTGACAACAATGGAGTTCTTCTAGTAAAAAACGCACGCTGTCTTTTCCAAGATAGGTACGGGAATAGACGAGGGTCACTTCACAACAAAGGGAGTTTGTTTCTTCGCGAAGAATCTTTCTTACAAATTGACACTTTGACTAGTGGTGGTGATCATGCCAATTTTGAAATGTCAATGGATTCTGTAGTCACTGCTTCACAAATCATCGTCGAAAGCGGTACAGCATACCTCCAGGGTCAGATAAATAGTAGAGTACATGTCAGTGGTGGAAAGCTCAATGTAGGTGGGCCTAACACAATAGGATCACTGTCTATTGAAGGTAGTCTCTTCATGTCAAATACAAGTGTCCTGGAAGTTGATCTTGTTAGCCCACTACCTTCGGTTGCGTCGGACACTTTGACCGTTTCCTCTGATATTGAGCTGCACGGGAAACTTGCTGTTAGCTGGAACTCTGATCGTCCTACACCAAACAATATGGACTCTTTCCCTATCATAGCATACGGAGGGAACTGTCGAATAGATGGCCTCGTAACGGTCGCCCTCGATGATAACGTAAACTTTAACACCACATGTGGAGATTCCTTTCTGACTGTAACAGTCATCCGCTAATGAAGTTCAGCAACAAGACTAAGAGACAACGAGAAAGGTTTTGACAATAAATAATCCAAGATCAAGGGCCACCTGTAATATTTCTAGTACAGGAATCAACTTTTGGGTTCCTTTTTAATATTTTGTTTAGATGTTGCGTATATTTACTTTCCTGATGAGACTATCATATACTGTAAGCTTTAGGCAAATTTGCGTATCAGTGTTGTTTTCCGTATTGAGGGATATATTTAGCAAATTAATGTATATTTACCATATACTAGGGTGTAATGTTTTCTTTGTTTAATTTTATTCCAACAATTATTCGGCATAGAATAGACAAGGGGTTACACTTGTTATTTGCCACTTCACCTTATAGGGCACGATACTTAGCATCGAATATTTACATAATTGTACTCCATGTATGATGATGATATAAAATCTCATATCGACGAAATAAAATTTAAATATTAAAACTTTTTTGTCATTTTTTTTGTTTTGTTTTTGTAAGCGTCGGGAAGTCGGGGATGACTATACTAGAATAAAACTTCGTGTTGTCATTTTATTTGTGCATTTCTCTTTTTGTTCAACATTCCCATATTCGCTCAAAGACGAAACAGAACCATCATGATAGTAACATTTGTTATAAATATCGATTAATCTATCCTTTTCTAATCCCATGCCTTGCAAGCTTCCCCAAATTAAAGGTCAAAATGTATGATTTTTGTACGTAATGTGGACTCAGAGGTTCACACTGCCTGCCTACCTGCCTAAATGCCTAGGCCAGAACTGGCCCCTTGCACCTCTTCACTTTCTCCCTCCAGGCAGCACGGTCCTTAGCTTTTTGTTCTGCGACCTTAAGGGGCCATCCAGTGTCAGTCACTATTTGGTACCGCCATCTTTTGGGGGGTCTTCCTCTTGGTCTAGGGTTATCAAAATCCTGATGGTATGCCTGGTATACAAATGAGTCTGGGGGTCTCCTCTGTACATGGCCGAACCACTTCAGTCTTCTTTTCCGAATGTTATCAATAATTGTGTTCTCCACTTTAAGCATAGCTCGTATTTCCTCATTATATTTCAGTCCATACCATGGTATGGATGAAATATATTGTGTTCTCTGATGTTTCTTCTCCTTCTCCTCCTCCTGCCACTCGTTCAGAGGGATTCATCTCCGCCATTATTCAGCCAAATGACTTGAAATTTGGCATGGAGGTAGAGTGGGCCAATACCCCCAGGTGTTTTTTTTCATTTTTTTGATACATGCCTTTAAAAAATTTTTATGAAGGTTTTTTGGGGCATTTTTCGCCAAAAAATGGATTTTTGGATCCTGAGCCCTGGTTTTACAACCAAATGATCTGAAATTCGGTATAAGGGTACCTTGAACATGTGTCTGCAGAACAACAGTCACATATTTGGCATACACCACTTCCAAATGACTCATTTGGGGGACTTTAATGGCTATTTTCAGCAAAAAAAGGGCCAAAAGTGCTATACCCGTTCCATGTTCTATCTAAAGAATGGCACGTTCTATCTGCCGTTGGCCATGGAACAGGTGTTCCAATGCGGGTTACCTGAGGTAACATTGCACGTAAGTCGTGCGTAATGACCCACACATTCAATTTTATGTGCCTAAGACCTTCAAAATGTATCAAATCTCATCATTGTTAGTATTTGCATACCTGTAAGAAGATTAGTAAAGCTTTCGAGATTCAATGTGCTTGTTGTTGCATCTTTGTTCTCAATTACATCGGTACTATATAATTCATTTATTTTAGAATCTTTGCCAGTTTTACACTGGGGTAAGTTTGGAATAGTCCACTTTTGCGTGGGAGGGAGATGGACTGAAATATGCTGTATTTGCTCCCAAGCAAATGTCGGCCTCTCTAGTTTCTATATGGTCTCTCCTTGAGATCTTCAGGATAGCCCGTAGACATCTCATTTCAAATGCCAATAGGAGTTGTTCATCAATTTTTTTCAGTGTCCACGATTCACAGGCATAGGTAGCTATTGGGAAGATAAGAGCATACAACAGATGGACTTTTAGGTGTCTACTGACATCTGACCTATTCCAGACTGATTTCCTTAGTCTACCAAAGGCAGAAGCAGCCAGGGCAACCCGCCTCTTGACATCGCTTCTAGTGCCTGGTATAACACTACCTAGCAAAACAAATTCCTGCACTTTTTCAACAACGGACCCCTCTATACTTAGTTCCCTTACTAGAATAAAGATCATTTCAAAGTTTTCAAAGTAAGGTATGTCTGATTTTTGCTGCGTCTAGTTGTGTTGACACAGCATTACATGTCGCATGGGTGATTTAGTTGTGACATTAGACGAAAGTAGTACTGTATTAAAAGCCTTATATTAGGCTAACGCTACACAAACACACACCACGCTACGCACCCCTGTACAATATAAACGTCGATTGACCGCCATTCATTGCGGTAAACAAACTGTGACGTAATAATGGTATAGGTCCATTGTAGGACGAGCTCCACAGCGTTTGCAGCTGGCGGGACCAAGTTGGCATTCGGTATACGCTGAGGGGGGGGGGGAGGTGTTGATTTGGTGGCACTAGCAAACAGGTCGTTAACCTTTGGCATTAATACGACGCCATCTTGTGTATTCTTATTAAAGTATGAAGATTTCTAGCTTAACCGGATAGTTCTTGGGCACGGTTTGGAAGGAACGTGTAGCACGTGGACTAGATGAGGTATTCGTTTTCCCCGAATCACGCTTTCACCGGTTTCATCTGGTATTCTGAATATGTAAACGCTCTCTGGGAAGCCTTCTACCGATGCTACAGGAAGTATTTAAAAAAAATAATAAAAAGTTAGCATAGTTTTACGTTTTCAGTGGCTTTTGCCATTGCCGAAAACTCGCTGAAACCCCGATGCAATAACAAATATTTGGCGAACGTTACCACCCTCCGTAACGCCTGTTATCGTGGTTACAGAAATGATGAATTGGTCGACAAAGTACCCCAATGTACCCTTTGTCCACAGGCCATGCTGTCATGGCCGGCCTAAAATCTATTTTGAAAACCTTACGACAAAAATGCAGAGTGTGACGGCTGTGAACGCTCTTAGACATTAAAAAATCCTGGCTACGTGCAAAGAATTAGAATGAAAACGCCCTCCATAAGCCAAGCCAATATTGTCAACACACCCCGCGGCCGGCCCTAGAAAGGGCGTAGCTGAGAAAGCTGAGAACGTACTAGACACTAGCTCAACAGGTTTTCGAGCAGTACGCAGCACACAACTCCGCAAGAGAGGGTCGCTGAAATCCACGTTTAAACAGGTAAATATGTTTTACAGATCCTGTAGACATATTTTTTTGTTTCTCATGATAGTTATCGCGCTGAGAAAGTATAGTGATCCCCGCGTTTCAGTACGAAGTGTGCGTAGGCCAGAATTAGAAATATCTGTACAAAGTGTGCATGGGTCAACAATTTTCGAACAGTACTAGTAGTGTTTGTTGTACGCAGCAACACGTTGTGAAGCAGGGAAAGATTTGCATGTATTAAAAGGTACGTGGGTTCAAAGCACGTCGGTTGTGTTCCCCTGATTGAATGATTGAGTGTATTCACGTTGGTATCGTCTCTGAAGTATGAGTAACTGTAGGCATGGCAAACAACACTCAACAATACAGGTACGAAAGACCAAAGGTACAACTTCAACAAGGCTTCATCGGGTCAGTTTTCACCGTTCAAAACCCATTTTCACCCTTCAAAACCCAATTTTCACCCTTCAAAACTCAAATTTTCACCCTTCAAAACCCAATTTTCACCCTTCAAAACTCAATTTTTCATCGTTCAAAACTTAATTTTTCACCCTTCAAAACTCAATTTTTCACCCTTCAAAACCCAATTTTCATCGTTCAAAACTTTTTTTTCACCCTTCAAAACTCAAATTTTCACCCTTCAAAACTCAAATTTTCACCCTTCAAAACTTAATTTTTCATCGTTCAAAACTCAATTTTTCACCCTTCAAAACTCAATTTTTCACCCTTCAAAACTCAATTTTCATCGTTCAAAACTTTTTTTCACCCTTCAAAACTCAAATTTTCATCGTTCATCGACTCGTCCCCAGGATACTATGGTTGGCTCTTCCCAGTATGCTTTGCGCGGAGCACGGTCTCTTTCCCAGGGCAGTCAAATACAAACACGAATACGCTGTTATTCGCTGCAGTCCCGCCGTGCCCAGAACGTAATTTTATATTATACCGGACGCTGTGGAAGGAAAACATTTCCAACACGGTTCCAACCGCACCAAGGCACGATTTTCAACCGGCTGTTTTTGTAAGTTAGAATGGGGAGGGAGGGCCGGGGGCGTTTCTAAGTACTTAGACTACGTTTCTAAGTACTTAGACTAAGTTAGAGTAGTTTTTTCGTGTTTATAAATTATGTTGTGGACAGAGTCCGACGGACTGTTGTTGGTTTCTTGTAACCCCAAAACGTACTGCTCCATTGGTTTTGGAGTGGCGGACAGACGTATATTTTCCGACATAAATTCCCAACTATTTTCCACTGACACAGTTTCTCCAAATTGTTACATAACTGTTTGGCGCGATCACTAGCTAATCTTACCCATTGCATTCTTAAGTTGCAGCTTCTGCTGACCCAAACTTTTTACACTTTTCGTAGCCCACATTTTGTTGCTTATGCATAGAGCTCATTGTAATTCATTCATTAATGTGCACAGATTGTCTCACCTTTCCTTGGCTTTTCTTATTCATTTAATTTCCACCCTGCTCTTTCTCACTTCTCAAATTGTTGTGAACTACCGGTATCCTACCTTCCCCAAATGTATCATCCTATATGCTGTCTGTTGCATTGTTATGAATATGACATGACATGTTTTGCCTTGCGCATAATTAGAATGTGGAGGGGAGTGTTTCTACTTTTACTCTAAGTTTAGTAACGGTTAGGTTTTTTCGTCTGAATTGTTGTGGTCAAACTGTGAATGGGGCTGCCTCTCCACCGAAAGTTCCCCAGGGCCAAACAGTTATCGGTGCACACACCAATTCTTCCGCGACAGGGGATCCACTGTAGTGCCCGGAAAAAAAGTGACGAAGGGGTTCCGATGGTTCATGTTTGAGTTTACATCTCTCATAATCTGCTGCAAAATGGGATTAACTACTAACATGGCTGGAAAGTGTAAGAAGTGGCGTGTTTTGGGTGAAAATTGATTTCGGGCCCGAGGCTTACTTCCGGGTGTCCTTCCGCCCTGAGCGCGGTGCTTCGGTTTGACCTAGTTTTGCCTTGTATGCGTTCTGGGGGTGCTGTAGCTATGCCTCGCGCGACGTACTATTGTGATAATCTCAGTGTTAGGATTTTCTTTATACTTTTCTTAATAATACATAAGGGTTTTCTCTTTCCGACCATATAAGTCATATCGGTGGCTAAAATCTGGGTGATGGGTTTAATTCCACGTGAAAATGGCCAATTTTTGGCATCATTTTTCATCGAAAAATTCTATTTCCCCCTAAAATTTACTAAAATGTGAGAGGTGAAAGAAATTGAAATTCTTTTTTTCTCGTAGCTAGAGGGATATCCTTCATTTGCAAACAAAGTGTTTTGGCTTAAGAGGTATTTCCTGAAAGAGACGGTCGCTAGAGTTGAGGGTATGCAGAATCGAATTGAGACCCAAAATAAACTGGGGTGTGCCCCCTTATGTAACAATTTGGAGAAACTGTGTCAGTGGAAAATAGTTGGGAATTTATGTCGGAAAATATACGTCTGTCCGCCACTCCAAAACCAATGGAGCAGTACGTTTTGGGGTTACAAGAAACCAACAACAGTCCGTCGGACTCTGTCCACAACATAATTTATAAACACGAAAAAAACTACTCTAACTTAGTCTAAGTACTTAGAAACGTAGTCTAAGTACTTAGAAACGCCCCCGGCCTCCCTCCCCATTCTAACTTACAAAAACAGCCGGTTGAAAATCGTGCCTTGGTGCGGTTGGAACCGTGTTGGAAATGTTTTCCTTCCACAGCGTCCGGTATAATATAAAATTACGTTCTGGGCACGGCGGGACTGCAGCGAATAACAGCGTATTCGTGTTTGTATTTGACTGCCCTGGGAAAGAGACCGTGCTCCGCGCAAAGCATACTGGGAAGAGCCAACCATAGTATCCTGGGGACGAGTCGATGAACGATGAAAATTTGAGTTTTGAAGGGTGAAAAAAAGTTTTGAACGATGAAAATTTGGTAGTTTAGGAAGGGTAGAAAGAAAAGTTTTGAACGATGAAAATTTGAGTTTTGAAGGGTGAAAAAAAGTTTTGAACGATGAAAATTGGGTTTTGAAGGGTGAAAAATTGAATTTTGAACGATGAAAAATTAAGTTTTGAAGGGTGAAAATTGGGTTTTGAACGGTGAAAACTAAGTTTTGAAGGGTGAAAAATTAAGTTTTGAACGATGAAAATTTGAGTTTTGAAGGGTGAAAATTTGAGTTTTGAAGGGTGAAAATTTGAGTTTTGGACGATGAAAATTGGGTTTTAAAGGGTGAAAATTTGAGTTTTGAAGGGTGAAAATTTGAGTTTCGAAGGGTGAAAAAAAGTTTTGAACGATGAAAATTGGGTTTTGAAGGGTGAAAAATTGAGTTTTGAAGGGTGAAAAATTAAATTTTGAACGATGAAAAATTAAGTTTTGAAGGGTGAAAATTGGGTTTTGAACGGTGAAAACTAAGTTTTGAAGGGTGAAAAATTAAGCTTTGAACGATGAAAATTTGAGTTTTGAAGGGTGAAAATTGCGTTTTGAAGGGTGAAAATTTGAGTTTTGAAGGGTGAAAAATTAAGTTTTGAACGATGAAAAATTGAGTTTTGAAGGGTGAAATTGGGTTTTGAAGGGTGAAAATTTCAGTTTTGAAGGGTGAAAATTGGGTTTTGAAGGGTGAAAATGGGTTTTGAACGGTGAAAACTGACCCGATGAAGCCTTGTTGAAGTTGTACCTTTGGTCTTTCGTACACAGGTGACTGGTTCTTAGCCAAGGTTACGTGGTAGCAAACACGGTGGATGTAAACAGGGACTTCAGTGATAATTACTGCATATACACTCAGAGCACGTATACTAAGGTAGTGACACCGATAGTACACGTGTTAGATAAATCCTGAATCTAGGGAATCTAGTTGGAAAAGCATTATATGCATACAACGGGGACCATGTTCAGTTAAAGTTTAAAGCTTGTAGAACTAAAGCCTGACCTTAGAAACTGAAAGGACAACATTCCAAACAGGTGACATGTACTATCAGACCATGGACCTCTATAATCAGACACAGGGGTGGGCATATTAGAAAAGACCCTGAGAGCAAATTTGAACTTTGTAATAAAAACTTCTCGAACGTGCTCCCAGTAAGGATGTATTTGAAACTAGAATTACCGGCATTTGCTTTGGAGCAAATGCAGCAAATGGCTTCACCACATCCCCCGTACCAAAAATGGACCCGTCCCCCTCCGGTACACACAGCCATGCCCAATGCTTGATTTAAAAAAAAAAGGCCTCTAGTGACCCCATATCATGTTATGGTCCATTTAAAACACCTCCATACATGTACACAAAATCACTTTTGTACAGTCACCAAATCCAAAATTGAATTTCAAATAAAGAACAACTCCCCTATTTAAGAACACGCAGAACATTTCCAAACAAAATGTGGTATTTATCTAAATCAAAATAAATTTAACACTAGTTGGAAGAATTATATCAAGTAGTTACATGTGCGCCGATGCACGTGCATGATTGCATGTGCGTAACAACTGCACCAGAATGTATGCCGCCTTTTACAGGGCACCCTCATGGCCATAGGGAACAATGTAAACAAAAGGTCAATGACCTACCACACTACTAAATGTATCTGTAGCTACATGCTTCAACTACATGTATTTGGTTAAAAATTAAGAAAAAATCCGTTAAAAGAGCAACATGTTTCCACCAATTTACAGCCCAAGAAGTTCTTTTTTTCCCAGCCAATACTTGTAAAACACAAGTTGATTGTTTGATGGCTTTACCAGACTAAGTTCGTGGTGGTGTGGTGAAACATATTGTTTTTCCTTCTTCTTTCTCTTCTTTTTCTCCTGCCATTTCGTTAAATTGATTCAATTTCTTGGTTTTGGGGGTAAAAGACATGAAATTTAAATTTGGCATAAAGGTATAGTGGCCCAATACCCCCGGACGTTTTTTTCCCTCCATTGTTTTGGATACATGCTTTTAAATTTTGTACAGAATTTTCTTTATAATATTTTTATTTTCATATTTTTTCGCAATCACTTGGTCCTCTCTCTCTCTCTCTCTCTCTCTCTCTCTCTCTTTCTCTCTCTCCCTCTCTGTCTCTTTCTCTCTCCCTATCTTTTGGGGGAAGGGGCTTAGGCCAAATCAATGCGTTATCCATGAATACCACTTGGTGTGGCCTTATCAATAACACAAAAGAATTACACTTTGTTTAACAAATAAAAAAAACTCTCTGCAAATCTGTTCCCTTATGGTCCTAAACTACTGATCTCAAGAAATTTCAATTGATAACATCACATAGGCGATTCCTTCTCATTGTAAGGCATAAAATGTCTTGCATCCACTGAAACATTTTTTAACTGCATAAGTCATAAAAACAGTAGGCACCTTAGGTGCTGTTAAAACATTAAGAAGCAAATTATGCATCTTAGGATTTTTTTTTCAGAACTAACGATGAAAGAACCCGGGCAACTTCCTGGCTCAGAAGGTGAATAATAAATATTACTCCTATACTGCTTTTTTTCTGCATATATCTGAGAAAAAACACAAACCATTTAGTATGTGGCTTAGTGTGCTTATGTCTCAATTGAAAGACAAACTAGAGGAGATATAAGAAAAATCGACATACATCTCGCATTATCAAGGTTCGAGACAATCTTGATTCGCATTCATAGATGGTGTCCTCTCTATACTCTGCAAAGCGAAGGGAAGTAGTTGTCTTAAATTAACAGGAAAAGTTATTAGTTTAAGTTCAATAAATGGATTTTATTATTGGCAAAAGTTATATTCAACTACATTTAATTAGTATTAATTCTTATATTCATGACACATAAGTTATCATCTTCTTAATATTGGTTAAGAGTACTATATCCTTTGGTTCAGCAAAATGCTGTGAGATTTTGTGTCGTGTTTTGTACAACCATAATGTTGTACAAGAATAGCGTTTTGTTAAGGCGGAAACAACTTTCTAACATAATGGACCTATTACATTATTACGTCACAGTTTGTTTACCTGATCTTTTTAGAACATTTTAGAACGGTCAGTTAAAGAAAAAAACATTTCAAGTTTTCAAAGTCAGGTGTGTTTGGTTTTTGCTGGGTCTATTGCGGTAAACAAACTGTGACGTAATAATGTAATTCTGATTCCATCCAGTAGGTGACTACGGGGACCTTACAAAAGTTGACGCTACCGGTGCATCAGAACAGACAGCCAAGCAGGACAAGTTGACAATCAAAGGTAAAATGAATCTATTTTTTTTGCCTGTGTTTCTATATCATAGCAATTTGTATCTAAAAGGTTATATGGGTAGAGAATTTATTTTATATCTTACCAGCATTTTTTACGTATACAGGACCAGCTGCATCACAGAAGATGGCAAAGACAGACAAGAAGAATGTTGATAAGTACAAGGATATCATCAAGAAAGTGGCAAAAGAAAAGAACATTGACCCAGCCATCATAGCAGCTATAATCAGCCGGGAGACCCGCGGAGGCACTCTACTGGATAACAATGGGTGGGGAGATAACGGGAATGGGTTTGGACTTATGCAGGTGTGGATGATTTTCACCGTATAAATTGTGACAAACGTATCATATTGCGTAATTGAATTACTTTTAAATTTCGTGCAAGAAGGCTAATAGTATGTTGATTTGATTATGCGAATGGCATCCAACGCCGGAACTGATGGGAGCGCCAAAAAATATACTCTTCATGTTCATTCCTTAAGATTTCGTTTTTCTCTTTTGGAATGTTTTGCATTCTGGAACATTAGTATTGTTTCCATTTTTTTTTTAATTTACTGCATATATTTGTTTCTGAGCTGCTTTGTATAGTTAACAGCATGGTAGAAAACATTTTTGGAAACGGATTGAAATTAATGCGCGCGGATTTTAATTACATAATTAAATCAACATGGTCTAATTGTGGCAGTAAATAATGAAGTAAGAAAGTGTTCAAAGCCTACTTTATATAGAATTCTTAAAGCAGCAGCGTTTATTTTTTTTGGCACGAATTATCAGGGGCCTGGTAGGTTTACCTTTAAGAATGATGGAGATATAACTGTAATTTCATATCAACATAGCATTACAGTTTATAGTATCGAACAAAGAGGTAGGGAACTTTGCTAACACAAATGGTCATAGCTGATCAAAATCACTGCTTGATTTAGCAAGCAATACATGTTTTGGATGTGATGAAACTCATTTTGTATAACAATATTGCCGTTTAGGTTGACAAAAAATTCCCACACACCGCAAGGAGGCTCTACAAGTATTGAACATATCCGCCAGGGCACAGACATCCTCGTCGAAAACATTAAGACCATAGAAAACAAATTCCCCAAATGGACAAAAGAATAGCAGCTGAAAGGTTACTGTCTTTTTTTTACTTCATCGGTCACCACAAGGCTCATGGGAGCCACTTAAAACATTTTGGAATACAGAACAGCCAGTGTGGACAGTGTCTAACCATGTATTATTTTGACTACAAAAGAGTTCCACGACGTATAACTTTCCCTAAATAATCTTACACATTTTGGCTAAAGCATCATCAGTTTTTTTAATCTTATTATACATAATTGGTAAGATCATGTTACGTCAGAAAATGATTGCATATATTATTGTCTTAGGGATATTAAGGTTGTTGTTGTAAAACTATTAATAGAATGTATCTTTTGTCTTAGTTATAACAATTTCCAATTTCTTTTTTTAAACAGGAGGTATTTCAGCGTACAATGCAGGACCTGGCAATGTGCAAACCTATGAGAACATGGACGTGGGCACAACAGGAAACGACTATGCTAATGATGTAGTGGAAAGAGCGAAATGGTACAGGCAAAATGGATATTAGATGCAGCGTCGTCAAGTAAAATGTAATCAACTTAAACTTGTTTCTTTTGAAGGGCTCAGATTTATATACACAGATCTATGCTTGAAATAAAACTGAGATTTTGTAAGTGATGATAATACGTGTTGTTTTTTCATTATGAAGCCGGGATGTTATATACATTTATTAGCATTGGTTTATATATATATATATGCTATTCCTTGGATTCAGGATTTATATAACACGTGTACTATCGGCTTCACTAAATTAATAACTATATCATTATAATTATAACTATTGAATCAGATGCTCTTTCAGAAGTATATTATCAATTGAAAAGTCGTCGTTTTTCTAATTTTAGAAGAGACGTTAATTAAAAAAAAAACATGTCCTTATCTGTCCTTCCTTCAAACGGAATCAAATGTGTGGGTACAGGTTTAGCTTAAACTATTTCTAATCGACACATGAACGATTATCGTCTATACCAAGTTTCTCTAATACAGCGGAGAAAATGTTTTTCTTTTGTAGACTCTCAAATACGCGATATAATTCAAATCATGACTGGGCCAATATTTAAAGTAAACCGGTGAAGTTACATAACGTTAAGTTTTAGAATGCTAATTTTACAGTAAGTTTTGTCAGATAGGAAATCTATGTACACACAGACGCACGCACAGAATTAATGTACACACTCACACATACACACAAACACACACACACATACACACACACACACACACACACACACACACACACACACACATACGCCGAAAGTAAGTTGTATACATGGAACACAGTTATAACAGACGCTCAATTTTGCGTTACGTTTTATTCAAACTTCACGCTTTTGAACATTTTTCCTAAATATTAAGCATGCAAACACCAACAAAAAAAGCGTAACGTGGATCTGTTAGGTTTTTCACCCTCGTCATATCCTGGACTTAGACTACCTTTGACTTACTGTACACTATTAATGCTTCGTGTTGTGTCCCAAACTGTGCCCGTCCCATTCCGGATAAGCAAGTGTTGTTTCCGATTCCAGGACTGAGCTTGGGTCAGTTTGCTGTCTTGGGTATACTACGTGCTGTGTTGTATCAAGAACTGTGTTCGCACTGTGTTGCAGAATGATACAAGACACTCTGTTTGGACACTACATGTAAGTCGTAGACCAGCGTGAAATGTAAAAATGTAGAGAATTGCACCGATTCTTTCTTATTCTTGCCCCGACGAAAAACAAAGATGGCGGCCTAAAACAGTAAACAACACCACGAGAAGGCTCCTCCCTCAAAACAATAAGCTCCACCCCCAAAGCACGGAATGGGACAAGGCCCTTGTGTGTCCAGAACTGTGCCCGGTCAGGCACGGTTCGGGACAGTCCCCGCGTGTCCCAAACTGTGCTCAGTCCCCAGGCACGGTTTGGGACACGCGCCGTGTGTCCCAAATCATGCCCAGGCATGGTTTGGGACAAGGCACGGTTCGGGACACAACACTTCGCTCACTCAGCAATTTTCTTCGGGGGTTATAGGAAACAACCGGGTTTTATGACACAATATACACCTCGGAATGGGTCATTAACCCTAAATTAAGTGACAGAGGAGTCGTGGATAAAACAAAAATTTACAGATTTTACATTTAGTATTCTAGCTCCCTCATCTTAGACTTAAAGTGCAAAATATTTACAAAGTCATACTTAAAACGCCATTAAGGCCACCTATCGATCCTACAATAATGTAAAGAGTTAGTACATATATTAAATACATGTACATTCAAGAAATAACTCAAAAAGTTTCATAAGCTCAAAAACACACTATTATCCATGCTAACAAATCAATTTAAAATGTATGTTCTACCGTTGGGTTACTACTATATACATGTCGACTTTGATACGCTCAAAAGTCTCTGCACACATTTCACATTCTCACACTATAATATCCAATCCATAACAGTGAAAGATATAAGTTCTACCTTTAGGTTACTAGCTTCCTAAAGTTGCCAAAGGACGAGGCCTTTAAGTAAGTCGACAGACGTTTTAAGTAAACGTCTGTCGACTCTGAATCTAAAAGGGATAACATTGGACTCT